TTTTTTTATTATATTATATTTATATTCTATATTTTTTTGTAAAATTATTAAAATAATTATTATTTTATTTTATAAAGATATTATAAACTTTTTTATCGTAACATGTGTGCATATCTCTTTCTTATAAATTCAGTAAAATTTTAAAAACATTTTATTTAATTTATTAACATATTCTGAGTTATTATTTCACTTATATAACACAACTATTATTCTTAAATACAACAATAAATAAAAGAGAATTATCTATCTATTATTTTGTTACATATATCTCTTATAACAACAGAACTGTTATTTTTTCATTTTTTTTCAAAATTTTTAGTGTAATTATCTTACTATAATTATTGTAATATACCATATATTGCAAATAAAAGGATATGATTTAATCATGGCGTAGATATAAAAATCAGATAGATAAAAAGAACCGTGAGATAAAAATCGTTCATTCTGATTACTGAAATCATTATTCGTTGATTTCTCAAAAAGCTTGCGTGTCACGGACTTTTCTGCCACGACAATTGCTATCGGCAATCCTAAATCTATGAAAAAATCTTTCGTTTTGCAAGCAAATAAGCAAATTGAAATATATCATCCAACATAATCATGACTCAGTATTCCACATAATCCAAATGAGAGATAATAATCTCTCAACGCAATATAGCCCACGTTGAGGGAACATCACCTAACCATCTAAAAAAAACTTCTGACGTCTCAAATATCCTTTATATACTATCTTCGGAATTTTTTGTTGCTTGTTAGCAGAATTTAAAAAAATGTGTCAGTGCAAATCGATAACTTCAATTGGCCGATATTAATTGAAACAATATTTTACGCCTCACATACAGGTGAGGAATTCTCGATTGGTCGCATGGAGATTGGCAATTTGTCGTCACTGAAGAGATACGTCGGCAAGGATCGACAGACGGGATCAGTCTCGGCGCAAGACTCATCGGGGATGGAAGCAGGGAACGAGCCGCAGGAGGACGTCATGTTTTCCGGGGATTCGCGTGATTGCAAGCTCTTCGAGATCGGACAGTGCTTTCCGGGGCCCGAAAACGGCAAGATCTATTTGACGTATCGTTCCAGGCAGGAGCAGGACTCGCCGAGTATCTGGCTTCATCGTGACGGCAGCTGGTATCATTTGGCCGACAATTTCACCGCGTATTTTCGCATGATGCTGACTCATTTGGGCTTGCCCTTGTGGCAATATTGCGCGGCCGGGCTGCCTTTGTACACCTGGGTCCAACAGGCATACTTTCTGGTCGGGCCCCATCTGCTGCCGTCCACTGTCGAGCCTACAGAGACCGTATCCGCTTCGTTGTGGAACAACGGGCCCATCAACGTCCTCGACCCGACTATCTTCAAGGCCAAAGACGGCAAGCAGAGAAACGCTCGCAAGAAATGATCTTGAAGTTTTGGGATGGAAGGGGGAAGCAAAAACCGATTTTTGCTTCAAAATCAAGTTTTTTATAAGAAAAAATGAATTTATGATTATTGGATCTTTGTAAATATTCCGACTTTCCACGATATATTGGAATATTCTTCATTCAAAGCATTTCATCACTGATCGAATATAAATGACCATGTGAATTTATGTAGCATGAGTATATAAATAAATAATAATTTAGTATATCGTATATTTAGGTATATTTCTCTCTTTCTCTCTCGTCTTTTTATATTTAAAAGAATAATATTTTATATTTCAAAAAAAAATTTTCTTTCAAATGTACCAGGAGTCCATTTTTTTCATCGTTTATATGTATAAGATATAAGTATATATAATGTAAAAGTAACACCTGTATGTATAATGTAAATGTAACACCTGAGAAGAAATATTTTACGAGATATTTCAAGAGACGCGGTAGCCAAGTATATACAAAAACAAAACGCTACCAAGTAATTTATTCAAAATTATTTAAATTTCTCTATTTCAAAAACTAATAAGTATTAATAAAAAATCTAACAGAACTATTCTTGCACAATATTGAGACAAGCTTTTAATAACGACTAATTCAAAATTAATGCAATCAATCCCGAGATCTGTTACTTATATACCAGAAATGTGACAATCATTTTTTTATCGCGATTTCAATCTCACATATGTACGCAAAGAAATTTCATTTACAAATATTTTAAAATAAAATCTAAAATATTTCATACACATTATGTATTATACGATAATATAAAATAGATCATTACCGTGGAGATAAAAAATCAATTAATTACACGAGTAACAAATAAAGAATTAATTAAGTTATAAATTGTGCTTGCCTCACGATTGCTCCGCCCATGTCTCCCCGGACTCCCTTTCTCTCTTTTGTTTATTTTTTTTATTATTCCTTCATGGCATTCACTCGTGTAGACGCGATTAATTACAATCGCACGCACTAATCATCAAACGACTGCGCACGGTACTTTACACAATACTCCTGACGTTAATTGCACGCGACACGTTATTATAATCTGTTCAAAATTATTCTCTTGACGACGGTGCTATATTTGTCGTTAATAAATACTCTCTCTTTTTGAAATGCTTGCCATCTCATATCATAACATAAGTATGTGAGTTAAAATTAAAGCTAAAAAAATAGTCGCGAAATTTAATATTCGATAGTATGTTGTCACGCTTTGTCGACAAATTTGTATAATACTTGTACTGCGGTAGTTTTGCGCGATAGTTTAAATCGATCGGATAAATCACATTAAAAACATGACCGACATACAAACGCGCTGAACTTTTACTATTCGATTGACAAATATTATAAACACGTGGTTAGACGACTGTGCTTCCTAATTAAATTTATTATTATTATTAATAAAATCGTGCGAAATATTTTACGTTTCGACAAATAGCCATTGTTTCGACACGTCATTAATACTCTTATTAAATATACAACTTAATTGCTGATTGTAATAATTACAAGATCATATTTCGCGAGATATAAAACGGCATAAGAGACTAATCCAACATTGACCAGCTCATCGCATGAATGACAATACGAATGATAAATGTAAACTTGTACACTCTTGAATCTCGTCGCGCGAATGACAACCATATGATTGACATAACAACAACGCGCTATACGCAGTAAGAAATGAGTTCCGAATTTTGTTATGCATAGCGCGTTGTTGTTATGTCAATAGTATTATTGTCATTCGACGAGACTTAAACGAACAGGTAGTAATAACAAACCGTTCCGTGTCATATTATTTTGCGAAATACTATCACTACACGTACTAGGATATGCAACGCGACCATTAATTGCGATTATTACAATTAATATTGATAATTCGTATGAAATAAATCAAACGGTGGCTATTTATCGAAGCATACTATTTGCGCAATTAACCCATTTTTGAAGCAGGAAAAATAATTATTGATTTAATTATGATGTACAATCATGTTTAATTATTGTATTTTGCTGATTAAGTTTAAACTTCAAGAATCTAAATGTAAAAAAGGCTACTTTTTTATATACATTTTCAAACAAAGTATTTTTCTTGCATATTTTTACTTAAATATTTTATATCTCTTATTTAAAAAATCACGTTTTTGTAATAAAATTATACTTATAATACTTGATAAAATAAGCTCTTGAGATGTTAGACTCATACGCAAGTAATTTTTCAAGTATAATTAATTGTAATTAAATTTCTCTCAAATGTAATTAATTAAATTAAAATTATTATCTTCTCTTATCGCGTGTAAAATATTTTATCTTTTTAATTGCGCATTAGTCTTATTCTAAATATGCGATATTTTCATACGGCAAAAGCGTGGCAATAATAGTGTAAAAAGAGCGCGAAAAATTCAACAAGATATATCTTCAAGAGTATCTTCTCTCTTCTTCACGATTCACTCCTTGGCCCAGTTGGCATCGCGACTAGGCAAAAACGCCCAATTGGCAACGTAATTGGCGAACGCAATCTGTAGCAAGACGCAGCCATGCTGTCGCCATTCTCGCAAATTCTTCATGTCTATCTTTCTTTGTCGTTTGACTTTCATCTTTTCATATTATCGTGCAATTTTACGATTTGTTTAATGAATACGAAGCTAATTATCCTTATAAAAAATTTGGAAATCTAATTGCAAAGTTATTTCATCTTTAATAAGTTCTTGAAATAACATTTTCATATAACTATCACGTTATTAACAAATCCCCAACTAAATTACTTTTTTTTGTTAAAGAAAAGAAAATATAAAATAGTTAATACTTTCATTTTCTAAATATTGTCCTGCAAAAAAAGAATTCAAAGATTGTAACAAATTAAATTTAATAAAGATAAATAATAAAATTTAATTTCTCAGTTATTTTTAAATAAATTTCGCTATAGACGCTTTTAACGCTAGACTAAATTAAAAATTTTCTTATTGCACGGTTCTCCTGACAAACAATATCATAAGGTTTACGTTCTTTCCATGTGTAGATATAAAAAATGTATTCAGTATTATCGATGCGTCTTTTTTTCAAATGAGCCTTTTTAAATCCATCATATAGCGATCGATTTCAAAAAGCAGTTTTATTGCTTACAAAAATAATCTTCTAAAATCATTTTGGCGACGTATTTCTGCGCATTGACTATATGTATATTGCATGCATCCACTTGGCACGTGTCCACAGCATGTTCGCCGAGACAGGTGCCGATTTTTAATACTACACATTTTTCTCCGAGAGAGTCACCAGATTAACGAAAGTCGCCAGTAAAATAAGAAATGTTTAGAGTTGTGTAAAAATTGTGTAAACGATAGATTCCGACTTCTATTTTAAATTATGTTAAAATCGGAATTTTATATATAAATCAAGCGCCAATTGTTACTAGAATCTCTTTAAATACATTAATATGTTAAAAGTTAGATTAGACATACCGCCATCGTCTTCCGCTTTTCGCGTTTCTTGAGCAGAAGATTTCTCACGAGCATCGCCCGTAACTGGGAAAAGTAGACCGCGCACGAATTCATCCTGCTAGATACATTCGCCGTTTCGTCCTCTGTAACAGAAACATGAGCGAGCTAAATGGACAGAAAATTTCATCAATATTTGACGAACAACGAAAAATAGAAGCTGAAATTTTGTACTATTACAGCAATTTAATTTAGTTCACTTTTAGTTCAATTTTCAAGCATAGTATGTCTAAAAAAGAAGTTATAGTTTCTATCGACACTCCAAAAGAATGAATGGAAATAGATAACAATTCTTTTAAATATGTTCTTTAAATATGTCGTAATTAATTATGATTGTACAATATTTCAACATGAATTAAAACATGAATTAAAATAGTTATAATTTTTTCGTACAAAATTTGAACTTATAAATGTCATTTTATAAAGAGAAATGCGCACAGATAATATACATATATTATATATATAATAATATATGTATATAATATTATATAATATATAATATTATATGTATAATCTTAATCCTTAGATATACTTTTTTTTTAAATTTTGACAAATAAAAATATATCTTGTTGAAAAAATTAACAAACTGGATACATTCATAACAAGCGGAAATTGAATTAAAACGCATTTATTATCATTAACTTTTATTCACATATGTGAGTAAACTGCTGCAAAGATGAATGACAATTCAAAGTAAAAAAGTAGCGATACATATATGTAATCTGTCACTTACGACGGAACGTAACTTGCCACTTAATTAATGTTTCCGTAGAGAGGAGCACACAAAGATATCTCGTTCTTTCCCGCTCTAAAGTGCGGAAGATGACGAGAAGGAGAATCTGTACTCGCATGTAAGCATGCGACTGAAGCACGGCCGCGTTCTTCTCGATTAATTAGCTTAATTTGTTTGCACAACTGCGCGACGTGTACTCCTCTCCCCTCTCCCGTCACCTTCCACCCTCCTACTCACAACGTCAGCATTCACTCCTCTCCGCTCGTTTACTTTACAGTAAACTCGCGTAAGAACAATATAATTGAGCGATATCTCGTTCGATATTTACATTAATTATATGTTCGCGATTGCACAGTGAGTTTTGGAAAATTATTTAAATTATTTAGAGTACATCAATTATCCCCCGTGAAATTTATCCGTAAGTGCATAGCGTGAGATATTTAAAATACCTCCCTATATGCAGATTCGAAGATGTTTGAGAGATTTTGTGAACTATCTTACAGTATATATAAAATGCAATATTATATTGCAATTTTCTTTCTAAATTTATATATGTAAATGGTGTAACAACAATAATGACATTCCCTTTTTTTTTAAATTCTTCAAAGATTTTCATAAATTATTTAAAAATTTTTTTATCTCACATTTGCGTAGTTCATCAAATGTCAATCTATAAAATCACGACTTATAAAATTTAATTTTGCTCATGTATAATTCTGTGCATTGAAGAATTAATATATTGATTTTCTTTTTTATTATTAATCGATCAAAACCTGCACGAAGGGATATATTTTTTGTTGAAACCTCTTTCTTAAAATTTTCTTACGAATACACTTAATTGCGAAATCTCTAAATTCGTGGCGGAAAAAAAATAACCGATATAAAATTACTCACATTAATTCTGAAGTGCGCCGCGTCCGCGTTCAAGGAGATGACTCTAATCGGCCGTACCCTCGGTACCTTGATTGCTAGAGGTGGTCCCGGTGCCGTTCCCGGTGCTATCGTCGTTGCTACGTTGCTGGACGCTGCCGCCGTTACCGACGCCGATCGATTCGCGCTGCTGGGACGTTGCCTTACCACGTGACACGACGGCGGCATCGCAGCGACGGACAACGACGACGGTGTGCTCGGAACCGCGTCCGCATCCACTGTCGCTGCTCCTCGCCATACTTGACGCCGCTAACGACTGCACCAAAGACAAAGAACGAACTTACTTTCTTAATCCTGGCGTTTCGTCCAGGTCTGCTTGACCCATTTTTATTTTTTTATATATTTTTATATATTTTATTTCATTATATATATATATATATTTTTTTTTATGTAACAACTTTATATATATGGCATTTTTAAGACTAAAATGTAGAAGGGATGATTATGGGAATTATTAGGCAGAACCTTGTAATAATTCTTTTGTCGTGTTTTTAATATCTTTAATTATATCTCTTTTTCTGGATAATTTTTTTACTATTTGAATTTTAATACTACTTTTATTAAGAAGTCACGTGTTTCTGAATTGAATCCTATGACTTTATCAATATTCAATTTATAAATAGTCATCTATAAAATAAGCAATATATTTAATTAAAAATAAAAAACTTAATTAATTATTTTGTAACATAAGTCAATTTTTGATTTAATAAAATTTAGCAAATAAAATATGTATTCTAATAAAGCACATCCAGAGAATTTAGTAGGTGAACTTAGAGATTTCCCCCAGTTGCTGCGAAAAAGCGCTTTGATAAAACCTCTTGACACAGCTTCTTTGATATTACTCGGAAGTACTTAAAGTACTGAAAGAACTCCAAATATCATAAAATATTTCATACGAAAAATTTACGGTAAAAGCATTCTCGGTTAATTGCAATAAGTTCAAAAGCAAATAATAGAGATCGAAGATTTGGTGAATTTCGCCGCTGATTGTTTGCCGTATAAACACTCTAGGCACAATTCCAGGCAAACAGTAGACCAATCTAAGAGTGTAATTTAATATATGTAAATAACACATTTGTGAAAAAGAGACAGAGAGCGAAAATAGGAAAGAGAGAGAGAGAGAGAGAGAGAGAAAAAGAGACCTACCTTCGATTATAACCAGGTCAAACTTCCCTCTGGTCAATGAACGTGATTTAGGAACGTGCCTAGACGAGGGCCAAGGGAATAAACCTTTCACAGTCTGATTCTCCCGCTCAATTTTCTCACAATGTCCCATTCGATCACGTCCACAAGAAAATTATCGCATAAGTGCAAATCGCCGGTTCACCTGCGGAGCAAAAGAAGTGCACAAGTTTTTCAAATAATTGTATATTATGTGAAGAGTGTTTAAACACTAAAAATATGGCGAGCACACACACATATAAACACATACATATATAAAAAAATTGATTCTATTTTTATTTTATTACCTTGTTAAGTTTAAAATTTATTACATGTCTCTACAGATATTTATTCACATTCAACAGATATTTATTATATTACAGAGAGAGAAAAAGATCGCGTTGTATTTATTACATAAATGAATTGATTGCGCATGTTGCCGTTCTAAATATGGAAGATCGATAGCATAATAAAGTGATTCCGCGCGCGTTCGTGTTCCTATTTAGAAATTTATTAACCATATTTTTACTCGTTATCGGTATTAATGCAAAAAGTCCAAATATTCGCAATACTTTTTGTATATATAAATCCAGTTTCTATTGTACACATTTCATATATATGTATACATATATCAAAGTTATTTTATTACTAAATTTTTGTAATCAACTTCTTTGTTGCACACAGACACACACAGACACTATTTTAATTAGTATCTTATACAACTGTTTTTATGAATAACAGATCCTTTCTTTTTTTTATTAGATAATACTTTTCTCCTGCGAGAATATCTGACTTCAAAAATAAAAATATATCTTTTATAGATGTATGAGTGTTCTGAGAAATTTGATAAAATATTCACACGTTTATTTAAATAGTATCAAAAATTAACCGTCCTCCTTGTATGTTTTATATAATAAAAACGACTTGCTAATCCAATTTTAACGTCTTATTTAGTGTCTCATAACACTATCTTGATTAACAATGTTACATAATATTATTACGTACAAGTCAATTTCTACAATTTAATTCTACTATCAATTTGTACTTACGTACACTTAATTTCTAACGCACGTGCAGTTTTAAATAGGAAAGATAAATAACATAATGAAGTAATTCCCCTTTTGTTCGTGTCCTTGATCATTGATGTATTTTCATAAGAAAAGTTCGCTCAAATTTAATATATAGGTTTTATTTTTATTACATCTTAGATGATTTATCTATAATTCTACTTATTGTCATTTTCCATTCGTCACATTTCATTATTCAATTTTGTAGCGTACATTTATTACATTTGTGTTTCGAATTTTATATGCAATCAATTACACACAAACGCAAACTCAGTTCTTATAAATCCCATCGCGCATTCAAAATAATTACTTTTTTCGGAGAAAAAGTTGAAATTTACAATTTTTGGCGTCTTATGATTTTTTTTGGTATTATATTTCTATCATGAAATTTGGCGAATTTGACACATGTGGATATCACTAAAAGATATTAATAAAATCTTTTGAACACACATCTTTGCATTAGTTTAGCATGTTCTCTGCTTCTCTCTCTTTCTTTCATTCTCCCTCTCTCTGTCTTTCTCTCTCTCTCCTTCTCTTTTATCACTATGTAATAAATAATAAGTACAAAGTGCAAGGGAAACATTGCGCGCAAGCAGACACGTGGGGTCGTCACCCTACGACACAAGGGTCATCAAAGTAAGGAACAGAGGCTACCAGACGGGATGTCGCCACCGCGATTGCGACCGTAAAAGAGGGTGTATATATGCGTACGAAAAGAGTTCTGTAGAATTCGATCGTGTTACTTTCCTCAGAAAGTGGAAACTCGAAAGCAAACATCTCCACGCGCACACAAAGCATTTAGATTAAAGTTAATTAATCCGAGTAAATTTATTAGAGATTAACTTCTAGTAATATTTTTTTAAAGTAAGATAAATTAAGAGAAATTGCAATAAATTTAATAAAATGTAAACGTGCATACATTTTTAATTAATTTATGTACGAATACTTGATCATGATTATCCTATTTTATGATATCGGCTTATAACGCAGTAGGTTTGAATATTCTCACTAATACTTTTGCTAATCTCTCTTATTTCTTAAGTACTTACAACGCCATGTAATGTGATATGCCAGAATGCATTTGCATCATTTTCAAGATTAACTCTTATACTGTATACCAGACGTCTAAATAAAGTCTTGTGCAATATTTCACACATTTTAAAAGTGTCTTTCAAACGACAACGCATATAGACTATTCTGTAAAAATACACAGTGTTTTCTCATCCTGACTTTATTTGTTCGAAATTTTTTAACCTCTTTTAAATAACATTGCCCGGCACATGGAACATTATAAAAAAAAAAAAACCGCATATATACATATATTTTCATAAATATATATATTCCATTTATCATGTCGTTTCTACTTAATTCTCGAAGCAAATGAACATAAATATCGCTCCATAAAGCAATAAGAGAAGATGACAGACACGAGTGATTGGAGTGAGTTCTACGATTTCAATTACAATCGATTGCATTCCGAATCTCCTCTCCCCCCCCCCCCCCCCCCCCC